TTGTCTGTCCATTGTCCAATAGCTAAACAATTTATTTGCCATAAAAACGTCCGCAGAACTACCTCCATAAACCACTGAAAACTACAGTCGACAATGGACAAGGACAAGGACAGGCACGGACATGGCGGTTCTTATCATAATCATTTCCAGGCAGCTGCGCCAACTTCCGCCTACCGCACAGATCGCCCATCAACGATTTTCGCCGTCTGTTCCGCCCTCAGCCCTCAAACCAATCCGCCCAGAGACCTGGACGCAGCTCCAGAGTTCCCCACTCCACAAGCAATACAAGCCCAGCGACCCTTTCTGTCGATGATGATGATGGGGAGAATGATGGAGATGGAGATGGGGAATGGGGTTGGGGTTGGGGTTGGGCTGGGGCTGAGAGGCCTGTTCCATTTGCCTTCCGCATTGCTTTATGACCATAAATATTTCATTATGAATTTTTGTGCGGACGACGCACTTGGACATGCTATCTATAAGTAATTTTGCCTAGCTGCCTGCCAAAAGTTTGTCCCGAAATAAATAATAAAAAATGCAATCCGTTGCCGCTTCAATAAACCTTTTGCCCCAAAAGCTCCAAAAGGAAACCTACAGCACAAAATTATAGCTGTCATTTTTATTTTTTTTTTGTTTTCTGATTTTTTATACGCATAAAAATGCGTTGTTGGACGGTAGGGTTAAGCATGAGGTAGAATAAATTGGTCTAGAGGAGGATTGGGGGGACTGGGGAGTGACTCCCTTTTGACAGGAGTCGGAGGATTTGTGTTCGTGACATCTGCAAGTCGCATTAATAATTAAATCAAGCAATAAAAATTCAGCACGAGTGGCTGTCTCTATGTATATGCCCAGACGCAGACTCAGACTCAGGCACAGGCACCCCGACTCTGATGGATAGCTCTCTGCTCCTGCGTTTCTATGCGGCTCCAAGTTGTAGAAGGCAAAACAGAATGTGTCGATGCTTAGCAAATGAAATTGCTTGACTTGTTGATACCTTAAATATATTTATATATTTATATACTATATAAAACTCTTTCTTTAAGTTATCCAAGCAAGATCTAGTGGATTCAAGCAGACAATAAACCTTCAAGCCTGCGGTACTTCTATGTCTTGTACTGCGTTGAGAGCTCGAATTTTGCTGAAGCTTTTCTCAAAGCTTCCACTCTGGCTTCTGTATGGTGAGCGGATCTTCAAGCATAGCTTTGAGCAATAAAAAGGGCTTCGCCGCAGCTTCGTTGCAGCTGCTGTCAAAGAGAGAGAGTGAGAGAGGGAGTGCCTTAAGCAGTTAAATCTGTAACACGGTTATCTCTTAGGCAAAACCAACCAAACCAAGCTTATCAACACCTAATACTCCTTCGCAATACCCTACAAATATTGGTTAACAAAATATACATAATATATTTGTACATAAATCATTAATTTTCATTGAAACGAAACGAAACCCATACCCAAAAGTACACACAACAAAAGGTTCAATTGACATTTTTGCTTTGTTTTGTTTTATTTTGTTGTTGTTCTTTTGGATGGGTAACATTTTTGCACACGAATTGCTAAATTCATAATAAATGAACATTGGCTGGGGAGGAAAATTGAAAATGCCGCCTGCAACATTCTTACGCACGAACAATTCCGTAATGAAAAGCTTCCCAAACCCAAGCTAGAACAGAAAAGAAGATGCAGATGCAGAGGCAGCTGCCTCTACATTTTCCCTTCAACATTGTTGTTAATAATTTTACACCGCCCCCCACTTACAAATGCGATTAAAATTGTTAAAGCAAATTATGGAGCGGAGCGGAGCGGAGGCAGCAAGCAAGCAGTCTTTCGCCTTTGGAGCATTCAGCTGCTGTGTATTTTTTCTGCGCTTTCCCTTTGGTTTGTGTGTATTTTTAATCTAATAAAAATAGTTTACGCTGTTGCTCATAAATTCGCAGATAGAAATTCCAGCAGCGTCAAGGAAATTACAACAGAATTAAGAAAGTTCCCCAAGCAGTGAAGGGCGATCCAAACTTCAAGTTTAATCAATAAAAGCCGCAGGGCAGCAGCCAGTCAGCGGGAGGCAGAGATACTCCCATAGCGGAGGTACTTTTTTTTTTTCCTTTATCTGCCCTTTTGCCCATATACTCGTATGTATGTATGTCTGTCTGACTATATTTCGGTTACCTCCCACAGAGATTTTGTGGCTCCTCTTTTATCAACGCTTTTGTTTCCACTCTGCAGAGAGTGGGTGCTGTGCCGTGTCCTTTGACACAGCGCCGAGCTCCTGTTTCCTCTGGTAAATATATTTTAATTGAAATTATATTTTGTCTGTCATGGCAAAGGTAGGGCTTGAACTTCACCTACCACGGAGCACGGGACACGGGTACGGATGATGACATGCAAAGAACACACAATGCATTCCCCAAGCACACCTTTTCCCAAGCACACTTTTTAAGGATTATCCGGCGAAGGATTGCCTTGACTTTTGGCCAGTATCTTGGTCACACACTCCCAAGGAAAATCTCTTGAGGGACACACAAGTGGAGACCACCAAGCCAGAAAGTGACTTTTGCATTGAGACCGAAAACTTTTTCAAAGCAATTAGATAAGGGCTTTAGCCAGAATTTAAAGTTCCAAACAGATATCCTTTTCGCTCTCTCTCTCCCTCTCTCTCTGCACTCTTCTTTTGAGTGGCGTGGAGTGGATTGTGTGTGTGTTATCGGCTTGAAGAGGACTTTGGCCAACATTTAATCAGCAGAAACTTTGTTAAGTTGACCAGAACTTGGCAGTCAAGCCAACCGAATAGAAACCCACCTGAACTCTATGGAAATCTCATTAGATGGGAAAGAGAGAGAGAGAGTTCTATTTAGCTTAAATAATATTTAAGGAAGCGTAAAACGGAAATGGCCACTAACTTGAGTGTTTTCCCGACCAGAGAACAAAGAAAAATATTTAAGCACTTAAGTGGCAAATGGCAAATGGCAAAAGGCTTTCCCCTGCCCCCAAATAGTCGAATGTCCAATGTCCAGTGTCGAGTGTCCACTGTCCAACGTCCAATGGGCAGTGTCCAATGTCCTCTCGGCCCTGGCAGAGTGCGTGAGTCCAGTCAGAAATTAGTTGTAAGATGAATGGCCAAAGTCGCAAAGTTTCTGCAGCTTTTACTTGGGATTTACTGGTGCCTGGCTGGTAACGGCTGTAGCTGCCACTAGCACTCCTGCCCCCATGCCACCCTGCCGCCCTGCACCAACGCTGCAGCAGAGTCTTTAGCTAACTTTAAGTTGTTTTTTTTTTTATTTTTTATTTAAAGCAAAAACTTTTTTAATGAATGCTCTTAGTTGTGCACATATTTTTAATGCACAGAGTTCATTAAAAGGCAACTTCAGCTCTAGCTTGAATCTTTATACATTTGCTCGTTTTTACAGATTTATGAGGGGAGCAAGGACTCCCAGGACTCCTGGCCCCTGGCCGGGCTAGATGCAAAGTGGCTTAAGTGTTGAGCTTATGTTATTAGCTAAAAGCTGGCCCGGCCCGGCCCATAATGGACTTGAAAATTGGTTTTTGCTCAAAGTAGTTTTCATTTTGCTTTTTACTTTCAATAAAAAAAACAAAAGCCAAATCAAACGGCAACGCAAAATTTTGGTTTGGGGAAAAACATTTTTTTTAATTTTTAAAAGTATTTTTAATCCGTTTTATGAGCTTTTCATGAAAGCTTAGAATGAGGTTGGGAAAAGTTTCGAACAGAGTGAGTAAAAAAGGAATAAGGATTTCATCATTAACTCATTCTGAATCCCGAATAAATTTCCTGCATAAAATGTCTTTCCCTTTGCCCACTGAATTTCCACGGCATTGTCATCTTTTGAGTGAAATACAAGTACAAATCTGATATCTCTACAGCTCTTGCGACACTGAACTTTTCGTTGAATATGTGAGGATAGCCTCAGTTCTAACCTCATCATAGCCAGCTGGCATCTGGCATGAATCTGTGTGTTCATTGCGATTTTTGCAATTTGAAATGTTCACGCCTCCTTGACATCCCATCACCCAAAAACCCAAACGCAAACCCCGAAAATGAAACAAAAGGAAAAAAAAAAAAAATGTATTCCCCGGATTGGTTGGATCTTTTTGGTATTACATTTTTGTTGAAAGTCATCTCACGTAGCGGGCGAGCAGCCAACGTAAAGCTGATACACCGTGTATAATGGGATTTGTTTATTGGTATCATTTGTGCCAGCTTTCAGGAAGAGAGCAACCCAACCCAACCCAACGCCAACTCCAAGTCCCCCCCAAGTGCAGTTGGGGCCAAAAAAGTTTCGTGTTGCGTTTTTCGTGAGTGCAGAAGGCAGGCATAAGTAGCCAAAAGGGGCTGCCCCCCGCCCTGCTCACGCATAGCTAATCCTAGACAGGGAACAGCCATCATCATCATCATCCACATCCACATCCAGCTGGGATTGGCCGGGTCGGGTGTCGGGGTCGGTCCAGGTGGGCCAGTGGGTTGGGAGTGAAGAGCTAGCTAGTGCAGGGCCAGCCACGTGATGCTATAACGCAATATTGACACTTTCAACGACTTTCAGCGCCGCCAAAAAGTCATAAAGGGAGTGAAGCCAAAAGTTTCGCTTTTTCCATACACTTTCTGAGAGTACTTTGATTTTCGGTGGGCAGCAGCACATAAAGTTTCTCTCTCTCTGCACAAACTTTTGACGTCGGATTGAAGTTCTTTGCGCGTCCGCTCTCACTGATCTGCTTTGTGTTCGCTCTCGTTTAAATTCGCCCGCGTTCGTACTTGCTGTTGTGATGAGGAATTCGCCGGGCAGCGAATTCGCTTTCGCTCGTTTTTGCTTTGTCTAGGAATCGCATTTGGATCGCAAAACCAGCACACGAAGAGACAAGTGTAAGTATGTTTCTATTACTTTGAAGAGTTTTCTTTATGTAATTAAATGCGAGTATTTGTTTTTTAGACGCCTTGCAATGCAGCAAGTGTATCCACAACATCGGCTAACAATTTTTCTTTTATTTATTGTTTTTTTTTTAGTTTTTTTTTCTTTGTTGAAGCTTACACCGTTCACCTCTCGGATTGCACTCACTGCGAGAGGTGAGTGGGCGTGTGGGCATGTGGGCGGCTGGGGTGTGAGAGTGCATAAAAGTAAATCCAGGGATTTTGTCGTTGTTGCCACTTAAACTTTTTCACACCCAGACACCAAAAATGGCATCGACCCCCGTACCCTACCCGTTGCTCGTACCGCTCGACGGACGAGTCTTTAAGTGCCTTGAAGGGCTTCCTCTACTGGCCGGGCCGTCTGCGTTGGCTCAGCCTTCATTTGGGAACCGGGATTGGCTGGCGATGGAGATGTGCCCGCCCGCCTGCCTGGAGATGGAGATGCGTGTGCCGGGCATTATTTTCATTGTCGCATTTTTCATCATCACACTCCCACCCCACTGTCGTTCCTCCGCACCAAAGGGTCCGCACAGCTTTCATAGAAGTTTTTATGGCTCGCTGTGCTTGGCTGGCTTCTGGCTTTTGCTACACTCCCGTCCACCTGCTCCTGGCTCCTTGTGGTGCTCTCCTGTTACTGCTACTGCCACAGCCACAGCCACTGCCACTGCCTTTGCCGTTAGCCCTGCACCTGTGCGTCGCTTAGGACCGGAAGCTGCACATCAGCGCTTCCATGTGCGTGGGAGGCGTGGGGCGGCAGTCTCTTTTCTAGTCTCGCCATCGTCCTCATTGCACAGTGGGCACTGTGGCGATTTATAGTGATACGAAATATAGTTTTTAGTAGTTGAAGAATGAAAATGTTGCCTACATCTAATGCCAATAACCATGGAAAATATAATCAATACTTTTCGGACAATTAATATTTTCTTTTCTTTAGCTTACGCCAATATGTTTAACCACTGTGCATTGGGTGTCCTCGTGCTGGCAATTGCCACTTTTAGCCTCTGCATTGCATCGTCGTCTTCATTGTCTCTCAGTTTTTCGCTGTTTCTCCTTTGGCTTGGCTGCTGCTCCTGTTTTTTTTTGTTTTTTTGGATGAGGTGGGGGCAAATCTCTTTTGAATTATTACTGTAATTACCGTTGAGTTTCGCCTGGCAATTGCTTCTGTTTCTCCTTCGTTGTCGTCCTAGTCGTCCTGGTTGTCGTCATCATCTCCTGCGAGGGAGTGGACCCAGAGCCAAAGGCAGAGCCAGACCCTGAGCCAGAGCCTGTTGTGACACCGCTGATGACTGTGTTGATCCGACGATTATGATTTTATTACGTTTTCGTGTAGTTGTGCTTTGTGTGCTTAATTTCGGTCACAGTTCCCATGCCACTCCTTATCCCCGTGTCTTATCCCTGTGGTGTGAAATATGGCTCTCGATTTGGTGTGTCCTTCCAGCAAGCAAACACAAAAAAAAAAAACAAAAAAAGAAAGTATGAGAAACGGAGATGAAAAGAAATTTCAAGCAGAAATTTTGTAGTGTTTCGACGGGCACTGGTTTTTGTACCCTTCAGGAGAGTATTTCTGATTTAGAAAAGTTTTTAAAAAAAGTGAATTGTAAGACACATAAATACATATGTCTTCAAGTACTACCAATTGTGGATTTATGTTCTCTTAATAATATCTTCATATCCATTACTTTCAAAGTGTATCTAAAGTTTCGGCTACAAACTTATTTCTCCTTTTATTCTCTTACTATTCTTTGTATGTGTATTCTGGTCGAAACAATCAAAATTAATCGCTTGTAATGAAGCAACCATAATGGTTCCGAGCGGCCAGAGAGAGAGAGTGAGAGAGGCTTCCATAGAGTGAGAGAGGCAGAGCGAGAGCATGATAAACGATGTCGCAATGAGCGGAGCATTTAATTGTGGATTGCCCTTTGGGGGCCCCGTGTTGTAAATTGGGTCTACTCGGTATTGGCTTGGCTTGGCCAGTCCACGGATTTCTTTTGCTGCCTAGCTGGGGATTAATCAAAATTGATGAATGGAAATTAGTTAAAGGTGGCAGTTGAAGAGGCTTCCAAGGCTAGATTTAAAATATCTGTAGCTTGAAATCTCTTATATTATGATTTATAAGCAGGAAGCTGGGAATAAATTAGTGACATTTTGGTAGCAGGAATTGTCTCTTTATTTGTATTCGTATGTCTTGATTTCATCAAAGCTTTGGATGGTCTGTTTTTTTATGCTTCTTCCCAGCTTGTAGGAATGTCTCCTCTGCAGATCTGTAATTGTTGGCACCTTCCCACCTTCCGTACCTGACAATTACCCTACATCTTAGCAGCATAGCAGCATAAATTAAATGTTCTCAATTCTCATATGCATATTCCCCCACAATGGCAAGTACCCTGCCATAACTTATCGTCGTTCATCTCCGAATCGTATATCATTTTCCAGCACGCTCCAAATGGTTTTCACCTTTTTCCATGCTGGGCTTACCTTTTGGCCCTTGGATGCGTTCATATTGTTCATTATATCAGTCATAATTCATAGTCAGCCACTCAACGCCTGTTCTAAAGTCAACCCCACACCCCACAGAGCCCCCCTCATTTTGCAGTTAGCCCCCACGCAGAGAGAGGGAGATGGAGTGGGAGCGAAACATCTGCCAGTTCTAAAATATTAAATAAAGCAATCAAATAAATCTTCCAACATGCCTCATTTATTGCAGATTACCAGCCCAGGATGCTCCACTGAAAAATGCAGACAGGCTACACAGTGAGGATAGAAGATGTTGGAGTACATGGAACATCACCACCCCCCCCGCAAATTTTACACGCACGTACGGGCCGGGAGGGTCTTCACTATCATTACGGCATTTGCCACCACCACCAACCAACAGTAGCAGCAGCAGCAGCACCACAACTCTGCACTCCAGTGTACTCCACTGTGCTGGAGCTCTCTCTCTCCCCCCCGAAGTGTCTGGTAATCAAGAGCGGGGCTTGTCTGTAAGTGAACCTTCAATTACGCAAAATAACGGGCGAGCGGCGCAGATTATCTCATTAAAGGCGGGACACCGAAACCAAAACCAAAACCCACCCTCTCCCCCATTGTACTATTTTTTTTTTCTGGGTCTTCTTTAAATTCCACTCACACGCACCGCACACTGTGGGATGGGTAGGATCAGTTCAGCTGACAAACTAAAAATATGTTCACTGTCCCCCAAAAAGAACAACAACGAAAAAAAAAAAAGGCGACTTTCCTTTTGGGTTTGGTTTTGGTTTTGGGGTCTGGTCTCCTTCATGCCCTTGAATGAAAGTTCAAGCGAAAGTAAAAGTAAAAGTCGCGACTTCATGCGCGACACATTTCGCAACGACCGACCCGACCCGACCCTTTCCACCCGGCCATTGCCTTTGCCATTTCTTTTACCACACACTCTCACTCATGCTCTCCCACTCTCACTCCTGCTCTCTCACTCTCACTCCTGCTTTCCCACTCTCACTCCTGCTCTCCCACTCTCACTCCTGCTCTCCCACGCTCACTCCTGCTCTCCCACGCTCACTCTTGCTCTCCTTCGTTTGCTTCTTTCTCATGCACTCACACTTTCACTGTCTGTCGTCTTGCGTTTCTGGTCTATAAATTTCTATGGGCAAAGAATGCGTGTTTAATGGCCAGCATTGTATGTGTGCGTGGCGGCGAGCTTTAAGCACGTGTGCGAAAGAGTAGGAGAGCGGCAAGTTGGTATGGTACTACTTCACCTTCCTCCTTTCCCACACGCCGCAGAGCGAGGCTCCATTTATTATGCTTCAAAAATATTCGTATGCATACCCTTTAGCTGTGTCGTCGCACATGGGTCTATTATGTTTCATATATCCATAGATAATTTCAAATTTTTCAACATGTGAAACTCTACCTGGTAAAACCACCACAACATATGCTACTCCTATGTATATTCCCACTAGCAAAACCCACTTGTAGGGCATCCCATAGTCGCAATGCCAACCGCAGGCCTTCGTTTTGTTTTTTGGTTGTTGGTCTGTTGGAATGCTATGCCGCCTGCTTGTGCCTGCAAATGCCATTTTAGAAGATGTTTTATGTGTGTGTTGACATTTTTATTGCGGCAACATGTGTCGAAATTCGTCTGCCCTTTAACTACTCTCCCCCGTAATAGTACTACCCCAACCCCACCCCCCGCCCCAGCCAAATCCATGTTGTAGTTCTGTGTTTGTTCGCTCTGGTTTCGTGTGTGCCAAAACGGTTTACATTGTACTTAGCACAAGGCAAGAGTTAAATGTATTTCCATGGATTTTCTGTGTGGCGCATTTCAGCTTTTGGATTAGCGGCGTTACCACGAGTATCACATCCGGGGCATTGAGTATCACATGGCCCAGTTTAAAGTTGGATGCTGTAATGGCTTTCACCTTAAGGGCGTAACTTTGCAGTTTAAGTTTGGCTGCACTACGGTGGGACTTTATTGAACGCTTAATGTTCTGATAATACCTTGAAATTTCAGCTAAAACTAATGCAGAGAGACACGGATTGTTGTAGGAGAATTAACTAGACTTTAGAGTGAATTTGTTCTAAAGTATTTTTGTGGTAATAGTTTAAAGGTAGACAGAGATTAATGCTGAGTTTTTATGGAGACCTAAAACCGGGTTCTGTATATTAGTTTTGAAGTTCTTTTCCCGTTTCTATGCAGCAAGGGCGACCTCTCCGCCCATAACGCAAATTTATATAGAAAATGTCACGTCTGTAAACTGTGCCCCACTCATATATCACAATCCTTTCAATCAGCATTAGGAGAACACATCCCTCTGCCATATATGCATACTCTGCATCTACCATATCTATGTACATACCCGTAGTAGACCCATTTCCCACAGCAATTACCCTTTAATATACACAAATGCCACATCACGTATACGCCCTCTAGGCCCGCCTATCCGCCTATCCGTTTTCGGGGGGACTAAACCATCCATCTATGTGTGTAGCGGGGTGGGGTGTGGTGTGGTGTGGTGTGTGTGCCACGGTACATCTATCTATGCAAAGCTAAACGTGCAGCAACTAACAACTAAATTTCATTAAACCGCAGCGCACAAATTGAACTACAACGAAACCCAAGAGGTGGCATCCCAGCCCATGCTGAACCCCATCATGCTCATCAACAGGAGCAGCCTGGAGGGAAATTTAAGTGCCTTCGGCGACCAAACGAACCAATTTTGTAGAGGCCATTCCAGGGGAGTCGGAGAGTAGCCAAAAAAACGGCCAACAAAATGAAGCGGCATGAAGTTAATGCCGCAGACCCCAGCCATGTGCTCTATGAGGCGGATGCCGAAAAACGCGGCAACAACAGAGACCAGAGACGACAACAACTCGTGCATGAAGCAACAAAGCAGGGGGGGGGGGGTAGGTGGGGGAGTAAGGTGGAGCAGGAGCTCCAGTGAGCGAGCAACTGGAGTGGGAGTGGACAAAAATCACGCAACGGACCATGACAAGCAAACGCAACGTAGCGCATCCTGGACTGCCTTTTTGCGTCTGCTTTGGTATCCAAACCCCGCACCCCAACCCCGCCCCGCCTCCGCATATCCTTATGAACAACTTCAAAAATGCTGCAGCTGTTCGATGTGGAGAATAGTGGAGAGGAGGATGCCACCAAAACATACCCCCAATTCCCCCATCAATTCCACTTTTCCCGCTCACTCTCCTTTGGCGTGATAATAAAATGAAAACTTTTAACGGACAAGCAAAGGAATGGAGCTAGATCGAATACACTGGGCGAAAATTTGTGGTAAAAGAAAATATTATCATTTGGAAAATTAGCCAAACAAAATTATAAAAAGTTAACTTTTGAGTAATTAAACAATTATTCTAAGTGTAGAGGGTTTCTTACTGCTAAAACTAACAC